GAAGTGAAATATCTATATAGAGAAAATTGTAATACATTGAAAAAAGAAATTGAAGAGGATCTCAGAAAGTGGAAAGACATCCCTTTCTCATGGATAGGAAGAATAAACATTGTGAAAATGGCCATTGTCCCACAACTGTTATACAGATTCAATGCAATCCCAATGAAAATACCATCAGTATTCCTCATGGATCTAGAGAAATCTCTCCAAAAATTCATGTGGAACCAGAAGAGACCTAGAATAGCAAAGACAGTTCCGAGCAGCAGAGGCAAGGCAGGAGGCATCACAATCCCCGCCTTGAGGTTATACTATAAAGCAACTGTAGTAAAATCAACATAGTACTGGAATCAAAACAGAGTTGAAGATGAATGGAATAGATTAGAAGATTCAGTCACAACTACCAACACACTCAACTACCTTATCTTTGATAAAGGGGCCAAGCATGTTCACTGGAAGAACGACAGTCACTTTAATAAATGATATTGGAAAAACTGGGTCTTCATATGCCAAAAACTAAAACTACACCCATGCTTATCATTATGTACTAAATTAAAATCTAAATGGATCAAGATCTGAATATTAAAACAGAAACAATCAATTGGAAAGCAAAAAAAACCTTGACGACATAGAGGTAGGTAGAGAATTCTTGAACAGGACTCAAACCACACAGGAAATACTTCCCAGAATCAATAATTCAGATCACCTCTTATTAAAAAGTTTCTGGATATCAAAAGAAATCTCCAGCATAGTGAAAAGAAAACTCATAAATTGGGAAAAAATCTTAGTGAACTGTCCTTCATAAAGAGGACTTCTGTCTAAAACATATAAAGAATTTTAAAAAATCAGACGCCTGAAATTCATAGATCAAATCCAAAAATGGGCATCTGACATGAAGACACACTTCTCAAATGAAGAAATACAAATGGCAAGTAAATACATGAAAAAAATCTCATCATCACTAGTCATTAGAGACATGCAAATAAATCTACACTGAGATTCCATCTCACTCCAGAAAGAAATGTCAGTATCAAGAAACTACCAACAACAAATGCTGGAGAGGCTGTGGGGAAAAAGGAACTCTCCTGCACTGTTGGTGGGAGTGTAGACTGGTGCAGCCACTGTGGAGGTCATTCTGGAGATTTCTCAAAAATTTGGGATTGGAAATCCTATTTCTTCCAGCCATTCCACTTCTAGGCATATTCCCAGAAGAACTAAAAACATCAAACCACAGTGATATATGTGCACCCATGTTTATAGCAGTACAATTTGTAATACCAGATCTTGGAAACAACCTAAGTGTCCATCAACTGAGGAATGGATAAAAAAGTTGTGTTATTCTTATACAATGCAGTACTACTCAGCTATAAAGAAGGATCACATTGAGATATTTATAAATAAATGGGCACAACTTGAGAGCATACTCATAAGCAAAATAAATAAAACTGCTATGTATAAATACTGAGTAGTTTCGCTAGTGTAAGAAATGGTTGGAATATATAAATGTATGCGATAATCATGATTCCCCATTATATTGCTTTGAAGCCTTATAATATTTTCATTAATTACTTGCAATGATTTTATTCTGGTGTGCTTGATTTTGTAATGTGTGATGATATGAACAGTTATTTTGAAGAAAACATGACATAATAGCTAGTGCTGATTTAATATCATCTTGTTTTGAAGTCCCATCAAACATTTGTTTTTGTCTCCATTGGTTTTATCATGATGTATCTTATTGGATTTTATTATATGTGATAGTATAAACAAAATTTTTTATAGATAAAGAGATAATATAGAAACCATTGTTCCTTTTGTTAGTTGGTTCTAAATACCCTGTAATACTTTCATTGTCTTGAATGGTTTTATACTCTCTTGTTATGTTTGATGCTATAGTATATGAAGGTATACTCAAATATTTCAAGGAAAGAAACACTATGGTAAGTACTGTTATGTTGGGTTATTTTGTCGTGAAACACTATGTTGCTTAAATTGTTCTGTTCTGAGAAAAAGAGAGAGATCCACAATGACAATATAATGAACCATTTCCTGGTTGTTATAGAAACAATAATGACTTCACAAATTCATCTGAGTCAATGAATTCTTACTCATCAAGGAAGTCATGTAACTTGTAGCAAATCTTCTTTATAACCATTGTGAATTAATCCACAAATTTTCTGCACTCATTTAATTTAGACACATAATATTTCTGAAAATCTTATCTATATAGCTACCCAGTTTGGAAATATCTCTGATTGTTTAATTATACTTTTAATGACATCTATGTCAAAGTATTATGTGAAAACTAACAACTGAATATTGCACTGGAACATTACTAAGAAACAAATGATTGCCCAGAATGGTCAACACCAGATCTTAAGAAGTGATGAAGACAATTTCGAAGACAGGGTATGTCTTAAATTGGCTTTTGAACAATGCAGTACATTTAAATAGAGCTGCTAAAAGAGTATGTCCCGTATGAGAAACCATACAAGCAAGACTGAAGAGACGTGAACGCAGGAAGTGTATTTACTGGAGGACAGAGGGAGGGACTCCTCCTCTGACATTTATGAAGCACCTGACCAGGCAATAAAAAAGCATTCCTGGTTCTCAGTCTGAGGAGAGAAATCCAGAGAAAAATGGAGAAGACGGATAGGATGGGGGTTAAAAAGAGGAGCGGAAGAACAGCATGGCAGTGTACACTTACAGTCCCAGCGAGTCGGCAGACCAAGGCTGGGGGGTGGCTCTAGCCTGGGAATCCGAGGCCTGCCTGGGGAACACAGTGAGACACTGTCACACTAAGCTGCCTTGGCTGTCTTCAGACGCAGCAGCAGGCAGTAGTCATGTGTCACTTCACACTTCCTGATCTGAAAGTCTGTGGAGTATCTGCTCAAGGAGCCCTTTGTGACCTAAAGTCCTCCAGCCAAATAGGCTTGGCAGGAAACTATTAAAAGGGGGATATTAAAAACACCTAAACAGAAATCTAGTAGGCAGTCAGACAGGGCTGGGCACTCCAGGAAGTCATTCAGAAGATGACAGTGCATCAAAACTGTGACTGGAGGCACATTTAAACGAGATAATAGTTTTAAATACTATTCAATTGTGTGTGCTGTTGATAGTTACACCAATCTGTCCTTCACCACAGCCTTCAGCACTCTCAAGGCAATATTCACTGCTACCTATCAACATGGTTGTGCTTGTTATTTCCTTTATAGTAATGTTAGAGGCGAAGAAGAATACTTCTTGGACCTGTGATTGAAAGCTTGATGATTCTATATAAATATCCACTTGCCTGGCTGTAGCTGGAATGTGGTTTGTGCTCCCTCCCACAAACATCATGTATTAGAAGGGCGGCCCCTCGTGTGGCAGCACTAAGAGCTGATGAAACCTTCATGAGGTGGAGCCTGGTGGGATGTCATAGGGTCGCTGACTGTGGGAGGAACTGATGTAGCTCATGTGGGAGCCGGTTAGCTCTCATGCTGTAAGTTTGAACCTGACCTCTATCTCGTGCTCTTGTTTCCTGTCTTAACATGTGAGCTCTCCCTCTCACATTCACATCCAGCACTGTTAGGTCACACAGAAGGGAGCCCTCAGTGCTGCGAATGACTCCTCATCACTATGCTGTGTGGACGGTTAGCCTCTGAAACTGTAAACTAAATAAACCTCTTTTCTCTATAAAACAAACAAACAAACCAACAAAAAATAGGAACGCACCCAAGAAGGATGCGATCGGAGAGACAGGGTGCTATACAGGAGGGCTATCTGGACACACTTCAGGAGAAGGAAGCAAACCAACTCTGAGACCCTGGCCCTGGCCCCACATACCAAGTCTATATGGCCATCTTAGAAATTCAGTTTTGTTTCCCTCTCCTTTCAGTTTGCTGCATAAGAAATGCCAAAATGTCTTTGTAGACACTAAGAATTTGTAATCAAAGTCATTTTAACTCCCTCTCGCCCTTTTTAATTTTTAAATATTTTTTAAATTAAGATAAAAGACAGAATAAACTAAAAATGAATAGAAGAAAATAATAAAGGGCATTTTTCTTGAAAAAGTACTCTCTGCACATCTATCTACTGATTTTAACTGAGGAATATATATCTTTTAGAACATAAATGAGAAAACAATTTAACTACATTCTTTAAAACTGACTGTAAGGAAGAAACTGTAAAACTATCTGGAAATAAAATCTTTCTAAATCTCCCTTACAAACTTAGGGGACAATTTTTCTGCTTTGTAAAAAGAGGTAAAATGAGAATGTTTTTCTTTAAAGACTTAAGGACCACAAACTTCAAAACACCTACAGTCAGTGTTACAGAAATGGGCTATTTTAAAAAATTCAACTATTTGAAATAAAACTTTTCCAAATCGTGTATATAAATTTGGGAAAATTTTGCTCCTCCACAAAAATGAATTAAAAAGTTATTTTTTGAAATAAAGGAGTAAGAACCACACATTTTAAAGCATCTATGGCAGGTGTCACAGAAATGGAGTCATTTTAAAAAATATATTTAAGCTAGTCACATTTACTTGTATACAACAATCCTGTATCTTTTGAGGATTTAATTTGTTGCTTCTAAATGCTTAATGGATAAATTAGTGAGCTATCAGCAGCTCGGTGGGAGAAACATGGCATTGTGTATGCTGTTTCTCCTGTGAACAGCTTCTTTAACTATGTAGTAAATATGGGAAATACAGAAAGATGTACTACATAAAATGGAAATCATTGTAATTTGAATTGTTCTGAAGTAATAACTGCTAACATTTTACTATATCTTGCCCCAAGATTTTGATGTGCACTTGTTATCTTTAAAAAGTCAGCCAGCACATACTTCTGATGCAGTGGGCTGTTTCCTCTTCTGGACAATGTGGACAAAAGTGCTGTCTTCCTCACGGGAAATTAGGAGGATAAATTTAGAAAGGTCCTGAGAGGACACCTGAACAGTCAAGGATCACTATAGTAGCAGATATAATACTGTGTATGTGATTCAGAAGGTAAACTTACCTGGTACCTTCAGAGTCAAGTGTGGAAGGATATAGCACAGCTGTGCTGGCCAAAATAATCCAGTCAAAGGCAGAAGACTTGGAGCTCACTGTAGGGTCCCATCGGAGCGTGAGGAGTCTACATCGGAAGCCTGGTGATGGACATAACAAAGTGGTGGTAAAGAAGGGCTCGCCAGGGCTGGGGATTTAGTTCAGCAGTATAAGCATGTGCCTGGCAAGCGCAAGGCCGTGAGTTCGAACAAAAAAGATGGGCTCCTCCAAGGACATTGAAGGGAGACTGCATTTTTCTTGCCCTTTTTATTCCATTCTGCAAAAAGCCTATTGGCTGGTGTCAGTCACACACTGGGGGTCTTCTGTCCCCAGCAAGTCCATTCAGCCACACCAGGCTAATCAGTCTGTTGGGTGTGTCTTACTCAAACTGATGCAACAGTTAAGTATCACAGTATTATAATATAATGTTGATGATGATGGTGTTACTGTTAGGATTATTACTACATTGAATGCTATATCTTTTAAAAGATTTAAGAAGAATATGATGTCAGAGTGCTATCTGGTGAAAATATGATTTTGGATGACAGAATCATGTTTTATCTTACATATACGGCAATTTAGTCACTTCTTTATTTTTCATCTTTTTCCTGTAAAAGAAAAAACATTGCTCTTTTCCATCCCCAAATGATTTCATAAATCATAATAAATTATTCAAAATTGAAAGACTAATTTTTATTTGCTGAAGTATCTTCTCTTAATTCATGTAACAAGTGATTTCTATCTTTTAAATGTAAATTTCTATATCTTTTAAATTAAAGTTTTAATGAATATAATTTGTTTTTGTGGTACGTTAATATCCACTTTGTTTAAACAGTACACTGTAGCTGATTTGTTACTATTAATGGGTTTTCTCTATAAGCCAACAGTCAGATTACTTATGGGACATGAACAATACTAGAGTACAGTCCCAGAGAACTCAGTGTCGGGCCAATTACACTGCATGGTCCCCTCCCAAATTCAACATGGTGATGGGGGCTTGGGACAGAGGCAGAGGATTATATTTAGCCATGCTCCAAGAACATCACAGAAAAGTGACTCTCTTTTTAAGAGATATGTATACTAGCAACAAAGTCTTTACACAGTAAGGTTCACCAACCTCAAACCAAAAAACTACAAAAAAATATAAATGTGATAAGACCAGGCAAGAAGGCTCTTCCCCAAATCTCCAACTCTCAAGAAACAGATCCAGGAGGCACAGAGGGGAGAAGAGCATACGCCACACATCCGAAGTATAGGAAAGGACACAGTGGAGGCTAGAAAACAGATCAAAGAGGCATGTGTGAGGCCACAAAGGATATAAGCCAGCAGGTAATGGAGGTAATAACAAATTTTTCCAGAAATTCTTCATACAGAAGTCTGACATGTGAAATATATAAAGAGCTATATTAGACCACCCCTAACTGAAAGACCCCACCAAAAAGTAGGCAACTGAAATGAATAGAAACATCTCTGAAGAAGTATAGGTAGCCAACAAATAAATGAAAAAACATTCAATATTGCTGGATGTTGAGAAATGCAAGTTAGAGCAACAATGAGATTCCATTTCTCTACAGACAGAAAGACAATCATCAAGAAACCAAACAATAACAAATGCTGGTGAGGCTGTGGGGAAAAAGGAACTCATCTATGTTGTTGGTCGGCATGCAAACTACTACAGCCACTGTGGAGCTAAGTGTGGAGGAGATTACTCAAAAACTTAAAATTATAAAAATAGTTTCTAAAAATAGAAATTCTGTTTAACCTACCTATTCCCCTTCTAGGTATCCTCTTGAAAGAATTAAAATTAGATAGCAGTGATATTTGCATACCCATGTTCATAGCAGCACAATTTAAAATAGCTAATCCTTGCAAACAACCTGTATACCCATCAACAGATGAATGGATAAAGAAAACATATTTATACACAATGGAGTACCATGCTGCCATAAAGAAGGATAAGATTGAGACAATGGTATGTCAATGGATGTACCTCAAGATGACACTGTTAAGTGAAATACATCAGACACGTAAATTTAAATATCATGTGCTTTCTCATAGGGGTACTCCAAAGTATAAACAGTAAAATAAAAGACAGATACTAGGAAGTAGGAAGACCCTTTTTCAAAAATAAGGTAAACAAGAGTTGGAGGGCAGGGGAGGAAAGGAAGGGAAAAGGGATTTTGATACTTTCACAAGGGGACCATAACTCCTATGTCTCATTTCTGGTGGCTCTCCACAATAAATGTAATAATTATGTACTGCACGATGTCCTAAAACTTATTTATGAGCTAAGTTTTAGGGTTTTGGGGAGACACTAGGTGACTGAATGATAGACATACTATCTGATTGAATTCTCAGTGTTTAATGGATGAGCCAGTGAGGCTCGGAGGAGTTGAAGTCCTAAGTCTCAAAGGTGGGTGTGAGCCAATTGTGACTTCTCTAAGCCTTACCTGACACGGAATGCTGCAGTTGGGTTTGTGACATCACAAAGCAGCTCCTATATAAGGCCTGTCCGTTCCACTTGGAACTGTTCTTTCGAGAGCTTTGGCTGAGAAAGGGCATTTCTACCTGTTCGTCGGATTTATCGTCTCTTGTTTGCGTTCTTTTGGCTTCGTCTGGTAAAGTCACCCATCAGCTCTTTCCCTGTAGGCTGACAACACCAGAGCTGGGGTCTCCCATCACATTCTTCTTCAGTCTCCTTTTGTTTGTTTCTAGGGAGGCAGACATGCCTTGCATGTCCTCTCAGGACCGGAGGCAGTGGCTCTGCCCACTGGTAGTCACCATCTTCCTACTGTGCGTCGCTGTGGCCGTCCCCGTGTGTGTCTGGCAGTTTTCCAAGCTGGAGGTAGGGGGGTCCTGCGCCTTCAGTCTCTGCCTTCCTATCTGATCTGCTGCATTGCTGCTCTAGACACCCAAACTTGGTATCTGGTATTACTCTTCTATAAACAGGAGCCCTGTCTTTGGACATAACCTGCCTGATTTCTTGCTTATGGTTCTTCAAATGATGCTACAGCTGGAGGATAGGGGGTCAGGAGGACATATATATAGTTCCAGTGTTTTAATGCAACTGCCCTAGAAGTGTTTTGTTTTGTAAACATTCACCAATTCCCTGAAAGTTAGGTAGTTTTATTCCTAAAGTCTGACCTACTGTTGAGATACTGGAGTTAACCAAATCAAATAAACTATCTGGACATCTCTGTATTGAAATTTTTTAGCTTTTAGTTAACTTCCAAAATTAAATGATTCTAGTTGATTTAACTATGTTGTTCTCACCTTTAAAATTAGTTCTCAGTCAAAGCAAAGGTTTTGCCAAAAGTCCCTCGTATACTTTTTGATGTCACGTTCATATTGTGACATCATAAAGTAATACAAGCTGGAAGACCCCAAGGTATGTACATACCTACGATATACACTTACACTTATATATTTACCGAAGTGTGTGTGTATGAACTTTAAATTCTGACCTAGTAAAAACCATTGAGAAGCACTTATTTTACAAGTTCTCTGACAGGAATATGGTTATTTTAGGCCCTTTATCATAATAATTTGAAATAGTTAAACAATGGGATACATACTTATGTTCTGTATGTTTATTAAATTATTGCTTTACTTTCTCATACTGGCATGGCCCATATTATTGTTTTTAAAGTTGTGTAATATACCCTTCTGCATTAAATACTTCTTTTGACAAACAAAATATCTTAACAATATCGGTTCCTATGGCTTTACCAAAATTCAGAAACAAACATTTAAAGCAAATAAGACTTTATTTTGAAATATTTTTTGTGTGATACAAAATATGAACTATTTTTGAAGTAAATGAATTGTATAGACTTCTCACAGTTGCGACTTTCAGTTACAGTTTTTAAATGCCATTAATTTTTAAGAAAACTTTTTTAAAACTGCAGTGCCCACATTAATAATCTGAATCATGTTTTCAACTGTCTCACCTGAACTGTTCTTTACAGGCTATCCAAAGTATCAAGCTAACCCACAGCCACATCATGTGTGTCTCTCATAAGTCACATTATTTGTGCCACCTTTAGCCTCTCTTAGTTCTCAGTAAAATCTAGTGTTCTTAACCATAATCATCAAGGCCCAGTGCAGTGTGCTACCACCTTGTCTCAGATTGTGTCTCAAGTCCTGGCTTCTGCCACACTGGCTTATTCATATATGCTGGGCTTGCACTTTCCTTCATGGGACACCCTGCCTGCAAATAATACTAACTTTGGTGTTTACCAAAATGTCACCTGGCTACCCTATTTAATATTGTCAGTCTTTTCTCTTCACCTCTTCATATTCCCTGGCTTTATTTTTCTTTGTGAGACTTACCATCATATCTCCCTCCTATTTGAAGGGCTTGTAGTGGAATTAAAAAGTAATAAAATCTCTGCGATTAATTGGGCATCATATGCTATATGGTGGGAGGTGTGAAAACGTGACACTTGGCTAAATGTACTGGCAGTGGTGCACAACTGTAACCCCAGCCATCTGGGACAATGAGGAAGGGGGTATGTAGTTCACTACAAAGGCCTTAAGTCAGTTCCTATTGCCACTACACACAAAAGGGATGGTAGCAGAATGAAGCTGTCTGAGGAATGAATATAGGCAAGAAAAATGGATTCAGGAGAGGAAGACGAGTTGTAGTTCATGTTTGTTTGGCGAATATTGAGAGAAGGGGCCTGAAAAACAGATAGTATAACAGATGGAGAGGAGAGTGAGACCATGGAAAGGTTTATTTTTCCTGTAATTTCCATTAATTTTAGACATACTGATTACAGCCCATTCCCAGGACTTAGACATAGCTCTGATTCCATTATCATCTTAAAAACCTTGAACAAGAGTCAGAGATACCTGACCGGAGTGAAGTTGTGCAAGAGGGTTCATATACAATATCCTTACTGTTCTTTTCCTTATTCACTGAGTTTGCATGTGTGTATCTAAAATCCTTAACACCATGCCCAGCAAAGAATCAGTGCTCAAAAAGGTCTCACTACTGCTGTCAGTTTTTGAAATAATAAGTGTCAGTATTGCATTGGTTTGGAATTCTTGTGCAAGAGCAACTCATGTGAAATAAAGCTCTTACCTGAACACCTGAGGCAGCATTGCATGTGTCTGCTCAAGCACTAGATGTACTTTGACTTATTTTTAGGGACATTTATATGAAAATACATGTCCTTTAAATACTACAACTCATCTTCCTCCCCTGAATCCATTTTTCTTGCTTATATTCTTTCCTCAGACAGCTTCATTCTGGTACTGTCCCTTACAGCTCCACTAAGACTGTCACAAAGACCACCCCTGGTCTTGCTATTTGTAAAAAC